AAAAAAAAAAAAAAAAATTAGCCAGGTGTGGTGGCTCACGCCTGCAGTTCCAACTACTTGGAAGGCTGAGGCAGAAGGATTGCCTGAGCCTAGCAGGTTGAGACTGTGGTGGCCATTAGCGTGCTGCACTCCAGCCTGGGCTACAGAGACTCCAACTCAAAAAAACAAAAAAACAGGTCTATAAAGACGTCTTTATCAGAGCCATTACTAACTTCTTTTGAAATCCACACTCCATAAGGCTCCCCTACACACCTCTCGCTCTCATCAGCAGCTTTTTCTGCTTCTTCCAGCTTTTGCAGGGCAGTGGCCAGGCGCTCCTGAGCACGGTCCAGCTCCTCTTCGACCAGCTGGATCCTACGGTTCAAGGAGGCCACCTCAGCCTCAGCCTGCATTTGAAGGAAAGAATGGAAAACGGAAGCAGAGGCATGGTGAAAAGAAGAAATAACTATGACAGTAAGATTGGGGTTAATTGCCAGTCTAATGGGGTACAACTTGTCTTAGTTAAGATGCTAAAAGATCTAGCAGGAATAATTATATGAATATTTCCTCCCTTCCCATTAACGAATTCCCATATGTTCCACAGGAAGTGTTTTAAAACTCAGTTCCTTGCCCAGCCCAGTGACAGTTAGTACCACCTCCTTTCTGGACTCAGTTCAAATTCCTGAACACAAGAGTCAGAAAAGGTAGTCAACAAAGGGTTCCTTCTGTCTGAACTCCAGCTTGGAGGTGTGTCTCAGCAACTTTTTTTTTAAACTTTAATTTTTAGAGACAGATCTCCCTCTGTAGCCCAGGCTGGAGTGCAGTGGAATAATCATAGCTCACTATAGCCTGGAACTCTCAGGCTCAAGTGATCCTCCCACCTCAGCATCCCAAGAAGTTGGGACTACAGGCATGCACTACCATGCCTGGCTAATCCATTAAAAAAAATTTTTTTTTGAGATGTCACTATGTTTCCCTATCCTGGTCTTGAACTTCTGGCCTCAAGCAATCCTCCCACTTCAGCCTCCCAAAATGCTGAGACTACAGGCATGAACCACAGCATCCAGCCTGCAACTTTGTTTTAAGTGTCTCATAAAGTGAAAAAATAAGGTATCTTTTTTTTTTTTTTTGAGTTGGAGTCTCACTCTGTCACCCAGACTGGAGTGCAGTGGCCGCTCCTGGCCACCGCAGCCTCGACCTGCTGGGGTCTGGCGATCCTGCCGAGTAGCTGGAACTATAGGCGCGCGCTACCACGCCCGGCTCGCAAGGTTTCTTAAAGAGGGAATTTTGTATTACCTATTAATTGTTACCTAATTCAAGTTGTTAACCCTCTGATCATCTTGCCCACCCTAATACATCAGGAATATAACTAGCTAAGGGAATGTCTTTCAGAATAGCCTTCCGGAAAGCAAAAGAATGGAACATTGGGAAACCTACCCTCCATCCATTTTTTAAAGTTGACAACAAAGAGCTGCTTCTGGCTAAAATCATCTGCTTTGATGGCAGATGAGAATGTTATGCCCACCACCATTCCTCCAAATTTCAGAACTGTGTCCTATCTATTCCTCTACCTGTCCCCTTAACCTCAACTAATACAGCTTATAACAATTCTTTCCCTGGCCTCCACACAATAAACTACAGGCTAGAGTTCAAGTAACCCATGCTCCCTCTCTGGCAATGGAATAAGAAACAAGGAGGCAAGCCGGGCTCGGTGGCTCAGCCTGTAATCCCGTGCCTTTGGGAGGCTGAGGTGAGTGGATTGCCTGAGCCCGTGGGTTCGAGACCCGACTGGGCAGCAAGACCTCATCTCTACAATAAATCAAAAAAATCAGCCGGGCGTGGTAGTGCATGCCTGTAATTCCGGCTACCCGGAAGGCTGAGGCGGAAGGATCACCGGAGCCCAGCAGGTTGAGGTTGCGGTGGCCGGGAGCAGCCACTGCACTCCAGCCTGGGCGACAGAGTGAGACTCCAACTCAGAAAAAAAAGAAACAAGGAGGCAGTCTGCATGTGGATAAATTCTAATGGGAGGAAAACTTCCTTCCTATGACTGCTGTCCTCTTATCCCCACACCTTTACTGGTGGCAGGCACGCTGACTACCACAGCCATACAAGAATTTAATCTGTCTTGCACACCACCCAGTTCAGATGCTTATCCAAGTGCTGGGTAAACATGATCTCTCTTCTACAAGCCCAGATTGTGCCTGAATTCTATTACCCTGATTTCCTCCTGGCAGGCAGGGGTGGGCAGCTATAGAAACAATCTGGGCCACCAGCCCCTATGAGGGATATAACCCGAAAAAATCCTGCTAACAATCAGGATTAGCACCAAAAAAATTCCACGTACAAACATGGGAGGTTCAAGGACTAGAAGGGGAACAAAGGGCTGGGGCTACAAATCCAGCCACCAGGATACAGGAAGAGAAAATCAAGAAGTCAACATAAGCTGAAATTACTAAGAAACTATTTGTGTCTCTCTACTACCAAAAACATCAAAGACAAGCATTCTCTGGTTCTGTCTCTTCCAGGAAAACAGATGCCCCCTAGGACAACATGCATTTTTCTTCACAAACCCAGCAAGGCCAACCAGTCAAGAGCAAGTCAGGCCATCAGGCAAAAACTATGAGACACTGCCAGTACAATGATTTACCCCCTTTCAGATGAAATATGGAATTAGATTTGGAGGAAGCTCAGGAAATGTTAAGTCCCTATCCAGCTCACCAGTTGTTACCCAAACTGGAATAGACGATAACAGGCTATGGGGCGGGGGTGTACAGTTTCCACAGCAACAAGCTGGCTCGGGCAGTTTCTCCCACAAATCAGCATTTACAATAGAATTCTTTGCAAGGCTGAAAAGGGAGGAGGAGAAAACACATCTTGGTGCCCTGACAAGAGCATGCGCACATGAGCCAGCTTGTACCAAAAGCAGAACCTAAGATGGGAGTCCTAGCCAAAGCTTCAAAGACCCCCAGAGGGTGGGAAGCTGGGCGGGGGGAAGAGAGGGAGGAAGTGTGTGTGGGGGGGAGATGGGACATCTCTGTTCTTTTTTTTCTCCTCCCACAGAGGATCTGTTCCCTTTATGATGAAACAAAGCCGACAGAATCAAGATCTGATACTCTGTTTAAAGGAATAAGGCAATCTGACTTTCCCCTCAAGCCAGAGTCTATGCACAAACCCTAACTCTTTCAGGTCAAATAACTGTAGTATCAAGAAATTGAACAGGCCTATTTTTTGCAGACTAGACACACATGGCCCTGGGAAACATTAAGCTTTGCACCTTCCTTATCATCCTAGGTTTTAGTATGCCCACCCAGTCTTTCAGCCTGCTGACCTCTGCCCAGCTTGAAGGATATACGGTACTCTGAGTTCCTTCCCTTCAGGTAATAATAGGATTCTCCACTGCCCTGGTAGCAAAGATCCCTGGGGTGGGGGCTGGGAGTAGAATGCAGCAGTAATTTGGTCACATTCTAGAATATGGCTGACAACAGTTTCAGCTGAGAAATGCTACCATCCTCCAATCCAAAGAGATTCCCAAGTATGCCACACCCCTCAAGGCAAGAAACTGACAGGGTGCTGGTGCTCACAGGCAGAACAGGGCCAAGGACAGAAGGGGATTAGCCTAAATCTGGCATTCTGCCACACTGGGGTTTCTCTTTTTGGATAAAAGCCACAGATGAAATTAAAATGAAATGGTATTAGAAAAGTTAGGCCTGAGCCTTGTGAATAAAGGACTGCTTGAGTTCACTGTGCTCACAAACTCATCTACCCAGGAAGATACCTGTCCTTGAGGAATTTAAATTTCGCCAAGGGGGAGGTCAATTGGAAGGGAGTAGAGCTTTCTGCCCCAGTGTAAACATACGTGGAGCCTAAGCAGAGGCACTCAGAGCAAAGGGCTATTTGCTTCTCCCCAGTAAGTACATGTTCTAGTATGGGGGAAAGAGAAAAGTAAGCTCAGGAAAGCAAATATAAACCAAAGAATGGTGATCAAGCCTGTTGCTTAGTCCATTAGACCCCACTAATAGGAGAGAACCACACATTCTAACCCCTCCAAGAGACTAGGAATTTGGGATTAAGGTCAGAATCAAAACGCCAATCAAAGTCCCCTCATTCCCTCAATAGTACTAAGTTTTATAGACCAGAAAAAAATCAAAAAGAAAAATATATGGGGAAGTTAGGAGGTAGGTATTAAAAAACAGTACAGTGAATGTACATTTTATTTTAAAATGGTTACAACAGCCGAAGGTATTGGCTCATGTTTGTAATCCCAGCACTTTGGGAGGTGGAGGCAAGAGGACTGCCTGAACCCACCGGTTCGAGATGGGGAGACCTCATCTCTCCAATAAATCAAAAAATTAGCCGGGCGTGGTGGTGCACACCTGTAGTTCCAACTACTTGGAAGGCTGAAGTGGAAAGATTGCCTGAGCCTAGCAGCTGCAGTGGTTCTGAGTGTGCCACTGCACTCCAGCCTGGGCAACTGAGTAAGACTCCAACTCAAAAAAAAAAAGAAAAAAAAAAAAAGTTACAACAGTAAATTTTATGTTACATATATTTTTACCACCACCAAAAAGAGATAAGAAAAAAAAACTGCACTTAAATACTATGTTGCCATCTGTTTACATGTAGAGGGATGCACAAAGAAAACACAAAACTGAAAGTGGATTTGACAAGGGGCTACATTATGAAAGGTTAATTTCCAGGCCAAGAGCAGAAAAGAAAGACCAATCATAAAACAACTCCAGCTGCTCACAATGGGAATATTACCAAAAATAATTATATGACAATCCCGCTGACAGCATGTGATAGCATCAGAGAATGCAGTTTCCAGCTCCAGGAGAGAAGCCTGCAAAACTCACATTCCTGAATGCTCTAAGAGGATAACAGGTAGCCCAAGCCACCCCTCCCTTCCCACAGGTGTTTCTTCCTCAGTAGAGGTCAAAGTTCACTAGTGCAGAAAGTCAAAAGATTAGGCTTCCTCAAGCTAAAGAGTAGAAGATACTGGTTTCATCAATATTTAACTATCACCTTACTTCCTCATTCTGAGGACTTCCTCACTAGACCTCAGCTCAATAAGCAAATATGGCAGGCTTTGAGCAAGAAAGCAACTTAATATCTACCACCCCAGAGTCACCAAGAGTGGAAAAAAAAAAAGAGCTGGATTTCCCTACAAGGAAAATTACCAAATCTTGGGATA